TCAAGCACAACCACGACCTTCAAGCACAACCACTCAAGCACAGACACCACTAACCCAAGTCCAAGCAACTTCTAACCACGACCTTCAAGCACAACCACGACCTTCAAGCACAACCACGACCTTCAAGCACAAGCAGGTGAGAAAGCAATTATCACCCATGAAACAAAGGGAAGGTGACCCTGTCAGGACCAGGTCCCCTGCACACTGCACACACAGAGGCTGGTGCCCAGGGACACAGCGAGTCCCCACGAGGCTCATTTGGGCTTTCAATGAGCTTCATGCATTATTTAGTAGCAACAATGGCAGGAACAATGGGAGAAGCAGGAACAAGGTGCCCCCGCTCAGCTGTGCCATCAACCCCCGCTATTGACTGTCCCCATCCATAAGTGCTGCAGGGCCAGAAACGCTTTTGTTTCCACCCTCTCCATCGTACCCTGCCTTGCTCAGGGGTAGCTTCTGTCTCCCAACCACTTCTTCCATTAGGGACCACAGTTTTGGCCTTATTTGCGTTGGATGTTTTCCACACACAAAAGCACAGGAACAAAAAGAAGAGTGATAGATTCAAGAGGCCGTGAAGCCAAAAGCTCCAGTGACATTCAGGTGTCCATTGCAGGTCACTGGGACGGGGCAAAGAGCAGTGCCCTTGCCCCCCCTCTGTGCTTTCCTGTGTGCCTTCCCTGTCCTTAATGGACCTGGAGAATGGGAAACGCGAAGAGGAGACACAGCAGAAAGACGTTCAAGCATGTTAATGCAGGAACAGACACAAACAGGTAAACACTACCCTTGTGAGCCGGAATCCGAGCCCAGGAGCAGGCGCTGGGTGAGAACGGGTATTGCTGTGGCTTTAAAGAATCATGTTGCCTCTGTTGCTTAGTGTAGGCTCTTCGGAGCAGGCTTGTCCAAGGCGGGATGCAAAGGCTTCCTTTTGCCTTTTCCCTTCATGTAAAGCCGCAGGAAGAGCTGCAAGAACAACATGGGTTTAGTCTCCTCCTCACAACTTCTCCCTCCTCTTCCAGAGCCTCTGCCCCGTCCTGCAAACCCCTGGGGTGGGAAGAAGAGGGGGAAAACGAACTAAACCAAGAAACCAGCGCACACACACTGTAATTCCAGCCGTTGGGATGCTGCAGCCAGGTTTGCAAAGCCACGAAGAGCTGAGTTTGCAAACGCTTGGCCCAGGATGGTTCAAGCACCACAAAGCAGTTTGGCACCTGGCTGATTGCTGCAGGAATCTCTGCCTCCTCCCCATGCCTTGTGGGCTTTAAGCTCTTAGAGCCATTAAAGGCACCCACACATCTGTCAGCCTCGATACAGCAAACACCAACATGATGAACTCGACACAGAGCCCTCGAAGGAAGGGCCTCACACAGCCCATGTGCTGCACCACACAGGAGGATGGTGCGTGGCTCAAGCTCGACCCTGCGCAAGGGCTGGACACCAAAGTCTCATTCCCCATCAATAAGCAGCACCCCGGAGGAGGTGATTGTTCCCAGTCCTACCCCACAGGCCACCCCATTGGTGTCACAGACTCCCCAGCAGCAGGGCTATGGGAGCAGAGGGATATGCAGGGTGCTCCATGCACAGCTGTGCTCTGATCACACCACATACCTGTACACACAGCCTGCCAAGATCAGCACCACCCGGTTGCTCTGCTCTGCTCTGCCCTCGTGGTCAGGCTGGGCCTCAGAGCTAGTTTTTCGTGTCCTTTCTTCTAAACCACAATTGCTCAGGACACAATTCTTCTCTATACCCCAAACCCAAGCACATCCCAGTCAGAGCATTAAAACCACCTACAAAAAGGAAAGCCAGGGGTTCCAAATCGTTGGTGCTCTGCTCTTTCTAAAGGTACAGACCAAAAACAATCAACCTATTTGGACCCACAGTTTAAGAACCTGCTGAGATCGCTCACAACACATTCTCTCCAAGCAAGAGCAGCCTACCCCAGGAGTGCTGCCGACTCAACCCAAAGCCACCAGCCAGCTTTAGGCTTGGTTTCCCACTTCAGTTCCTCCCTATGAACCACTCTGCACACGTTGCTCCACTCCACAGCATCCCACCCCACTTCTACTGCACCTTCCCCACTGTTCCACAGTGAAAACTCAATCCCACTCCTTCCCCAACAGGGCTGAGAAACCTTTACCTGGAAGCTGGAATACCTCAGTGGAGCAATAACACGTCCAAAGAGCACACCACCATCTCTTCTTCCTCAGCTCTTTGTTCTCCTGGCCTTTATGGGTTCTAATGAGGATGATGATTCTCTCCTGAGCACCTTTAGGACACTTAATGAACTCAGCTGCTCCTTGATGTGGCCTGAGTGAGATCAAGGGGCTTAACTCCCTGCTTGCTGGAAGGAAACAGGGTGCCAAGTGCTGCTTTCCCAGTGTATGCAACCCCAGAAGCTCACTGTGCTCCTCCAAGGGTTCCTGAGTGTGTGCTCATGGGTTGAACAGCTGAGACAGGGCTTAAAGGAACTCAGCCCGTTCCCCTCGTATCTTTGTTAGCATCGCAACCATGAAGACATAATCCAGGAGAAAACCTGCCCAAAGAAACAGAAATCCAAGAAGAAACAGTTCATTGGAAGAAAAGCAACCCCAATCCAGTCCAAGGTGTGAATGTGAGGCTCAGAGACTGGTACTGCCACAACATACTGCCTCTTCTCATGCACAGGGATGCATCTAGAGACCTTAAAGAACTGAGGAAAGCAAGTCCTCAGTCAGAGAAGAGCCAGCTGGCTTCGGTTTTGAAGCAGCCACTGTTCTGAAGCACTTTCTGCTCCCCTTCTCCAGCAGTTTACCACTGAGAGCTGAATGAGCAGGAAAAATACAGATGTAACCCAGGGCTCTGTGCCCTATTTTGCATGACTGAAGCAAACTTGTTCATGTTTCCAGGCCTGTGACTTGTTTGAACCTGTTTTGTCATGCACTGAGTTGATCTCTTCACCTGTACAGGATGAAACGGTGCATTGGTCATCTTTATTCTGCTTTTCCTAATCCAAATCACCAGAAGCAGTAGGACAACAGTGCCAGGAGCCTCAGGCACAGAAATGGCAAAGAAAAACTAAAGCCTGTACACTGCAGAGCAGTCACTGGTACGTGGGAAGCCTCCTGTCCGTTCATGCCCACGTTCCTGATCACTTT